ACTATGCTGAAATAAAGTAATATGACACTTTGCCTCCTTTAATTGTGGGATGGAAATCTGTCCATGCTAGCAGCGTTGCAGAACTTTAACACATTAGTAATGTGTGATATACGATAGCACTTCGCCTCATCATGTATTCGGAGAGGGCTAACGATGTTCACTTGTACTGGAAGCAAAAAGCGAAACGCCATTGTTTATAAATGATGGAAACAATTCAGAAGATGAGCCCAACTGCCAATTTAGTGAAAAACTGTTTTTGAAAAGCTGCAAACAAGTACCTTGCATTAAATTTATTTTAAGTGTTACAATTAGGTTTCACAAGCTCTCTCCACAATCTAAAAATAATATTGGGTATAGCAAGACAAGCTCCTATTCTTGCAAATCTAAATTTTAATTATTTTAATTTTTACAAAATTGGTAAAAGCGATAAAACAATTCTCATTACAAACAGTTTATCATTCTTTCCACATCAAATAACCCATGTACGTCTTTGGCGGCATATACGAAGAAATGAGCCTCGTGTTTGGTGTGGTAGGTGGGGTTTGTTTGCCATTTGTATTAATGTGCCTAGGATTTTGGTTAATGTTTGGAGATTTTAAATGCACAATTTTTTCGAAAGTATATCATTGCACGCAAGTCTAGATAGCTGCTGTTGTTCTTTGCTGGTCTCACGGTTTCTATGATGCGCGTGTTTGAATACTTAAGTGCTTTTGCGGAGTGAGTTCATCTGGCCAATGTGTTGTTTTTTTTCATAGTAGTCTGGTCTCTTCTTATTCTAGGGTTTTCAGTTGTCTTAAAGTTGTGGCGTTGCCGGTGCATAATTTACTTGCAAGGATACGGCTGTTGAAATGATAGGTTTACCGCTTAAGGGGATTTGAACTCTTTTAGCAGAATCGGAGTTAACAGTCGAAGTTTTTCAGTAGTTTTTCGATGGAGTTGCAAAACTTTGATGAGAAAACTTGAAGCCTAGCCTTCTGTGTTACAAGTGTGAATAGATATATTGAAAAAACTTAACAGACAATTTAGCCATGGCCTGATGCTTTACGCCGTATCTTGGCCGCTTAGTGAAGTCGTTAGATGTGAAGGCTTGTTCAGCGGATAGCGCTTCGTAGGAATTCCTTCACTTTGGCTTCGTCAACTGGAAGTTGCTGCCGGTAATGAAAAAGGGGAATGAACGATCGCCTATCAATCTCGATGTTTAAATAAAGAGGCCCTGGTCCTGCGAAGAGGAGAACTGGCTGTGGTGCACTTCACTTATCTTGTTAGAGTCTGAAGAAATTAGTATGATTTACTAACACAGGAGTTTCAGGTATGCCAACTAATTGGGCGAAGAGCTGATAGTAGGTGCGAAGTAGTTGTGAATGTGTTTTCCAGTCTCCTAAGTTCCAACACGTGTGGGTTCGTACTTTGTTTCACTCTTGTGACGTCGTGCATCTTCTTTGTGTAGTAATTTGTGTTCTCTCTGGGGAAATATCACCCCTAACAGCAGCTAGTGAGTAGTGAAACAAAAATGGTAATAATGGCGGTGGGGATGGAAGCATTTCTGCGTGGAGACAACTTTGTTCACTCCCAGGAAAGGCTCTCTCTCCTTGTTTCTCAGTTGAAGAGGACAAGGAGAACGTCTTCGTGCAGTACAGTGTTTGGAGTGCCCAAATAGTCTGCACTCTTTGATCAAGGATTTTCTTGCCCAATTTGACAAAATGCGATTCTTTTGGCACTACGTTCAGAGGATCAGAGATGGTCAATCACAGTCTCATGGCACCGTGTATGTGGGAGGAGGTGAATGCCCAAAAGGTTGCGTCCTAGGCGGGACTTTAGAAGTCTAGAAATCACTTGCCTCCGTCCTCCGCTTTCTTCACCGTGGGTGCAGCTGCTGTCTCGGTGATTGCCATCTGGTAAAAGTTACAGTAA